GTGGCATCACAGCTCACAGCAACCTCCAACTCCTGGGCTCAAGCGAGTCTCCTGCCTCCGCCTCTCAAGTAGCTCGGACCAGAGGCGCCCGCCACAACGCCTGACTATTTTTTGGTTGCAGCCGTCATTGTTGTTTTGGCAGGCCCAGGCTGGATTCAAATCCCCCAACTTAGGTGTATGTGTCTGGCATCTTAGCCGCTTGAGCCACAGGCGCCGAGCCCAAAGTAAACTTTTGAGGTGTAGATGTCTGTGAGGCAGCTAGCTCAGATCTAATACTTCCAAATCAGAACTTCTGGTCACCAGCCCCACCCCAACTACTTCTTTCCACCACTCACCCCCATCTTCCCATTAATAGAAAAAAAGACACCTCCTTTGTTCTAGTCACTGCAGCCTAAAATCTAGAGGCCATGTTTAATTCTTTCTCCCCCCATAGCAAGTCCTGTTATTTTGCTTCCAAAACAGATCTCAAATCCATCCACTTTTTCCAGTATCCCTGCTCAGAAGGCTTCTTATTCTTATACCAGAACTACAACAGTAGCCCTCATAGTGTTGTTCTTGTTTTCATTTTTGCCCCTTCCAATCCATTCTTTTTTTCCTTTTTTTGAGACAGAACCTCAAGCTGTTGCCCTGGGCCACAACTCCTGGCTCAGGCGATTCTCCTGTCTCCGCCTCCCAAGTAGCTGGGACTACAGGTACCCGCCACAACACCCAGCTATTTTGGGGGTGAAGCCATCACTATTGTTTGGTGGGCCCGGGCTGGATTTGAACCCACCAGCTCAGGTGTATGTGGCTGGCACCTTAGCCACTTGAGCCATAGGCGCCAAGCCCCAATCCACTTTTCACCCACCAAATGGAAGATCTTATAAAAATTTAAAGCAGATCATGCCCTTCCCTGGATTAAAACACTAAAGAGATTTCCATTGCATGCAGAATAATGATGTCCTTGTTCTATAAGGTTTTACTCAGGCTTCACCCGGACATCTTTCCCAACTAACCTCCTCTCACTGTCTCCCACTTGTGCACTGCACTTCTGCCTCCCTGGTTTTTTCCTTGTCTTCAAACTAGCTGTGTTTATTTCCAACTAAGGGCATTTGCACTTACTGTTCCATCTGCCTGGAATAGTGTTCCACCAGATCCTCACGTGACTTCCTGCTAGACTCGGCTCAAATGTCTCCTCCTTCAAGAAGCCTTTTATGACAGCCGTATCTAATGCTCTCTGCCTATCCACTCACTATCATATTACCCTGTTTCATTTTCTTCAAAGCATGGATCACTACTTGACATTGTTTTTGTTTACTTGTTTATTGTCTGTGCCCTCCATTGGAATGCAAGCTCCATGAGAATAGGAACCATTATCTCTCTTATTCACTGGAGTATGCTACTACCTAGAAGAGTGCTTGGCACCAAGAGTGCGCTCAATTAATAGTCGATCTGTGAATTGGCATGCCACACCATTCCTGACTTCCTTTTGTACACCCACTAATGTACAAATAATATAAGCCATCAATCAACTATCTTTTTTTTTTTTTTTTTTGAGACAGAGCCTCAAGCTGTCCCCCTGGGTAGAGTGCCCTGGCATTACAGCTCACAGCAACCTCCAACTCCTGGGCTCAAGCGAGTCTCCTGCCTCAGCCTCCCAAGCAGCTGGGACCACAGGCGCCTGCCACAACGCCCGGCTATTTTTTGGTTGCAGCTGTCATTGTTGTTTGGCGGTCCCGGCTGGAGATTCGAACCCGCCACCTTAGGTGTACGTGGCTGGCGCTTTAGCCGGTTGAGCTGTAGGCGCCAAGCCTCAATCAACTATCTTAAGTAAGCTCCTGTCCAATGTCCTCCTCAATGACATCAAGGATACTAAAACTATGAAAATCTGAATTTCAGGAATTAATTCTGCTCTAGTCTACTCTGGCTCCTGTATGTCTTACTGTAATTCATTGATTCAAAAAAACATTTACTGAGTAATTAGCAAAACCAGGCACTGCGCTAACCACAGGTACATTACCCAATCGAAACTTTCAGTTTTTACCTTTGTTAGCAACTGGATGAAAATTATATCCACATCACAGCCAAACACCAATTGCAAAAAGTCACCAGGGTGGCACCTGTGGCTCAAAGGAGTAAGACGCCAGTCCCATATGCCAGAGATGGCAGGTTCAAACCCAGACCTGGCCCAAAACAAACAAACAAAAAAAAGAAATAAACATTTCCTAAAAAGTCATCAGCTTTCACTTAATATTGGACAGTCCATAAGAGGACTGGTAATAATTTCTTATTACTTAGAAGAAGCTTTAAATAAATAGGAAGGTTGATCTTTTTCTCTTTTTTAATTAATAAAAACTAAATAAGAATTACATGAGAGAAAGCTATACTATTCAAATACAGAATTTAACTATATGGGAGGTGGGGGAATGGACAGCTGATATTTTCCTCAAAGGTTAAAAAAAAAAAAAGAGGAGTGGAATTTCTTTGAAATCTACAACACATAATTTACTGCATGAAAATGCAAGCTGCCAGATCTTAGAGCCAGAAAAGCACCATTAGGGCATCTGTTTCAATTATAAACCAGTTTTGGTTTAGCTGTGAGCATTTAGGAAGTTATTAAAATTGTA